CTTCCCTAGAAATGATCATGAACTATACATTTATAAACTTTTTCCTGGATCATCAAAGGACCCAGTGGAGTTACCCTTGGACAATAATATTCATTTTCTTCACAGTAGAGTTAAGATACTTTATAGCTGGGTTCATATTTTGTAGATGGTCTAAAGAATTCCTACTGTGGGCTTCCCTGGTGGCGCAGTGGTTGAGAGTCTGCCTGCCGATGCAGGGGACACGGGTTCGTGCCCCAGTCTGGGAAGATCTCACATGCCGCGGAGCGGCTGGGCCCGTGAGCCATGGCCGCTGAGCCTGTGCGTCCAGAGCCTGTGCTCTGCAATGGGAGAGGCTGCAGCAGTGAGAGGCCCGCGTACCACAAAAAAAAAAAAAAAAAATAGAATTCCTACTATGTGTATTCTCAAACTTCAGTGTGCATTAGAATTACCTGGATGACTTGCTAAATCACTAGTTACTGGGACCCACACCCAGGGTTTTCAATTCAGTGGGGATGGAGATCAGTCTGAGAAGTTGCATTTCCAACAAATTCCTAGATGAGGGTGATATTGTTGGGTGCATGCGGAACATCACTTTTGAGCAGCACTAGTGGTGCAAGACATAATTCTTACCTGTACTGGTCAGGACAGGGCTAACTCATACCTCAAGGAGCTTGTGGTCTCGCAGGGAAGATATTTATGTAAATGACATACTGCTGTCTCCTTAGGGGCTAACAGATAGAGTAAGTGGACAAGAGGAAAAGCAGATTTAACTTTCAGCTTATGAGATCAAGGCAGCCTTTGTGGAGGAGGTGGCAAGTGACTGAGCCTTGACTGATGGGTAGAATTTAGAAATGCAAGACAGCAGGATGAAATGGAGAAATGCATTCCATTTGAAATATATTGCATTAAAAACTGTAAAAAAATCCCCTTTTTCTGATATTTACGAGACAATTCAAAATTTGAAATTGTTAAAATTTTCAATTGTCTCATAAATGTCAAAATTGTGTTTTTAAAACAGATTTTTAATGCAATATGCTAATCAATTAATGTTAATGTTTTTAGTGTTCTAATGGTGTTGCGGTTATGTCAAAACGAGTCCCTAACTTTTAGAAAGTCATACTGAGATATTTGTGGGTGATAAGACGTGCTGTCTGGGAAAGTGGATGGGGTCTGGATAGAGCAGTGTTGGCCAGTGGTTGATGATAGCTGGGGCCTTGTGACGAGTACATGAGAGATTCATTATACTATTTTATTCACTTTTGTGTATGTTAGAAATTCTTCATAATAAAATTTTTCAAAAACAGAAACTATATGAGCAAAATTAACCTAAAGAAGTGCAGGGCTCATTGTTTATTTCTATCAGAATATAAAGTAAACAATTGAACAATAAGGGTAAAATGGTAACTTGAGACCAAGTCAATCAATGATTTGACTTGAATGCCGCTAAGGAATATGGATTTTTTAAGATATTTTTTAAAATATCTTATATTTTTAAGATAATGAAGGAACACTGAAAGCGTTTTGAACAGGGAAATAATATGAAAAAAGTGCACTTTGAGAATATTATTGTGGCAATGGTAGGCAAAACTGACTGGGAGGGCAAGAGTCTGAAGGTAAGGACCAGGTAGTAAGGGCCTGAATAGAGATCTAGAGAATAGAAAAAAGGGAAGGTGGGGGTGGTGTAATATAGGTGAATCTGTAGGTGTTGGCAACCAGTTAACTATAAAGAAGTCATGGAAGATACCAAGATTCTGAACTGGAGGACTGGGAGAACTCCAATGCCATTAAAAGAAAGGGAATATTGTGGGCTTCCCTGGTGGGGCAGTGGTTAAGAATCCACCGGCCAATGCAGGGGACACGGGTTCGGCCCCTGGTCCAGGAAGATCCCACATGCCGCAGAGCAACTAAGCCCGTGAGCCACAACTACTGAAGCCCGAGTGTCTAGAGCCCATGCTCCGCAACAAGAGAAGCCACTGCAATGAGAAGCCCATGCACCACAACCAAGAGTAGCCCCCGCTCGCCGCAACTAGAGAAAGCCCGCGCACAGCAACGAAGAACCAACGCAGCCAAAGATAAAATAAATAAATTTTTTAAAAAGGGCATATTTACCAAGAAAATGATAAAGTTTGTTTTTGAAATGTTACTAGTGAGGAATCTTTGTGATATGACCAGAAGATAGCTAGAAATCTGTGACTGGAATGCAGAAAAGTGGGCAAAACAAGCTGAATCTGAGAGACAACTATATGAGATGGGATGAGATTGCCCTGGGAAATAAGTTGGTGGGAAATGAGGGTCAAGGACTTTGGGAAGCATCTAAATTTAGGGATTAGGGAAGAGAAGAGGAACCAGAGAAGGGACTAGTAGAGAGGTAGAAGGTATAAAACTTCACATTCGTGTAGGTACTTTAGCTTAGTGGCATCAACTATTCTGCCCATAACAATAAGACCAAAATTAAATTACGAGAAATAAAAACTGAATATTCTTTGCACACGCATGTTCATAGCAGCATTATTCTAAATAACCAAAAGGTGGAAACAACCCAAATGTCCATCAATGGATGAACGGAGAAACAAAATGTATATGCATATGTATTAGTCAGGGTGCTACAGAGAAACAGAACCAAGAGGATGTGTATACATGTGTAATAAGGAATTTGCTTCTGTGAGGATCTTTTGGATGTTTCTGCCCACTCATACTAGAAGTCAACCTAACAAAAATAGTCCACTAAAGAGGGCAAAAAAATGTCAGGTACAAGATGTTCACCTTAGTCTAAGAGACGTAGTTGCAGCCTGTGTCAGTCTTGATTATCTCAAAGCCTTGCTAATGAGCAGTTTTTCCATTTTGCTCACGGATCAGTCATGCGCATCCAGATTCCATCAAAAATACATTAGAGAGATGATGCAAGCATTATTCTAATCTGAAGAAATAATTTATTATCTTGAAGTAGTAAATGGCCTAAAGAAATTGCTGAAAATGTTTTTTGATTATTGTTAAAAATTTAGTATTCATTATGCTGAAACTAAAATTGTATTTGTGAGACACTGGCAAATTATTAAATGGATAATGCTAAATAACCACACCTAACTGATTAATTAATTCAACTTGGATTGGGGTGGAATGGTTGAATTCTGTATTTGTCCAGACATAGCAGAATGCATGTTTCCTTAAAAGAAGAATTGTACAAGTAGTGTGATTGTCTTGTTTTGGGAGCTACATGCATCGCCTTAGCTAAAGTTAGTAATGAATTGCAACAATTTCTCTATTTCTTTGCTAACTTAGATTTTGTTCTATTTAAAGTCTTATTTATATGTGTTTTAATATGACAACCTATTGTATAAGAAGTAGGTAGTGTATAAATCATAAAAACAAGAAGGCATTTTGAGTACTTACCTTATAAGGACCTAGTCCAAGGTATTTGCATTTACTTTCTCTTTTAGTCTTCACATTGGGTATAGGAGGAAGATACTACTCTTACTGTTATTATTATTATTACCCTCACTTTACAGATAAGGAAACTGAGGTTCAAGAGACCAAGTAACTTACCCGTCACACTTATCAAATGATGGAGCCTGGATGTCAAACCCAGGCAGTCTTACTACAGAGTTGAAGCTGTTACCCACTGTGTAATTAATTGAAGAAGTAAATTGACTACAGGACATTAGCACTTGGTTAATATGTACAACAATATCCTCTGAAACTGAACAGATTAAAATTATAACTCATGATGCTTCTGCCTCTCCACAACACCCCTCCCCCAACACACCAAATCTACTGTGAAGGCAATTTCAATTCTGCCAGCAGTATCACCATTGTCTCAAACCTTAAATTACCTCTGACTTATGTCTCTCCTTGCACTTTTATATACAATACAGCCAATCAGAGACAGCAGGTAGCAAGAATCTTAGTTATTCGAATTTTTTTAATCTATTATTTTTTATTTATTTTTTTATAGTATTGAACAATACTATATTAGTTTCAGGTATACAACGTAATGATTCAATATTTTTATAGAGTATATTCCATTTAAAGGTATTTATAGGGCTTCCCTGGTGGCTCAGTGGTTAAGAATCCACCTGCCAATACAGAGGACATGGGTTCTAGCTCTGGTCCGGGAAGATACCACATGCCGCGGAGCAACTAAGCCCATGCGCCACAACTACTGAAGTCCACTCTGCAACAAGAGAAGCCACCTCAATGAGAAGCCCGCGCACCGCAACGAAGAGTAGCCCCCGCTCACTGTAACTGGAGAAAGCCCGCGTGCAGCAACGAGCACCCAACGCAGCCAAAAATAAATAAATAAAACAAATGTATTTTAAAAAGGTATTATAAAATATTGGCTATATTCCCTGTGCTGTACAACACATCCTTGTTGCTTATTTATTTTATACATAGTAGTGTGTACCTCTTAATCCCCTACCCCTATCTTGCCCCTCTCCTGGCTATTAAAAGTTTTGTGTCATTGAATTTCTACTGGGTTAGGGACTACCAGTACTAGGTACTGCCTTTTAATGTCTTTGCTTTAATTTACAGGATCAAAAACAGAGAATGAAGAAATTTTGGAATTTGTTATTATTAGAAGCCAGTAAACAGTAATATTTCAGCCACTTCCCAATGGAGAGTTATTAAACCATGAGACAGATTAGGCAATGGTAGTTTTAGTAGTTTTATTAGTTTTATTTAAGCTACGGGTAGTATCAAAGAAGAGGCTATATACTTGGCAACAGAATACAATTAAAGTCCAATATTTATATTTGTTACATAAACTTTTATTTGAAATGGATGAATGGTCCGTCAGGCCAGTCCTCCAGGAACTATTGATACTTTTCCCAAGGAGAGCGGAGAGTCCAGCCGCTCTCAGAAAGAACTACCTATCCCAGAATGCCCTTTTCTCCATCTTTCCCGCGAGAATCCCGGAGGGCTAGCTCAACCAATCCCTTCGTGAAGAGCCTATAATATCAGCCAATCAGAAAGCGAAAGGGTGCCCAAAGGCGGGAGGCGGAAGGCGCCATAGGTTTGAAATAGGAAAGTTGGCGCGGCTGCGGGATCCGGTTCTGGAGACCCGCTGTTGGCTGGTATCGGTTCGTGTCTTTGTGGGGCAGGTGGTCGGGCTCAGGCCTGCCGGAGAAGGTGGTAATTGAGCTGGGCTCCGAAACCCGCCTGTCGCGATTGGGGAAAGTGGGTTTGGAGGCGGAATGCGTGTTTTCGGGGGCGGAGTCTGAAATGCACGTCTTGTTGCTGTTTGGGCGTCTGGGCCTTGCAGGGTGGGCAGCGACGAGGCAGAGGGGTTTGGGGTTTCGCCAAGACATGTCTGTGACCTTCCTGGAAAGATTTGACGTCACTGGGAAGGTTTTAGCGTTATAGAGAACTGGTGGGTCCTGGAGTCTTACAGGACATCCTTTTACAGAGGAGGACACTGAGGCCCAGAGAGTCGAGGTCAAGTACTAGTCCTGGACTAAGCCCACTAAACTCCCCTCCAGTCTCCGTTTTACTGGTATTTTTCCCGGTCTGGGGGTGGGGGAGGGAGAGGGAGTGTAGATGTGTGGGATCTTATTCTATGATAGGGGCCCTGTCATTTGGGACCTGACAATCCAGGGTGGAATCAGAAAGGTCAGAGTTGGAAGCGGCCTTAGAAGTCACCAATTTTACTTGTGAAAAAAGGAGGCAGAGTCATTTCCCCAAGGTCAGAGAGTGTGTAAGTGTTATGTGCGGTCACACTACTAACGAATTCCTGGGAGGTAGAGTGTCCTGATTTCCTGCTGCACCTTGACCGTAGTTAAGTCTAGGAGGCTTGATCTGCCCTGGAATATCTAGAGTTAAAAGTAAGTTGTTATGAGAGTAGGGGATTAACAGATGCACATTATCCTATATAAAATAAACAACAAAGGTTTACTGTATAGCACAGGGAATTATATTCAATATGTTGTAATAAACTATAATGGAATAGAATTGAAAAAATATAGATATATACATATATATATAACTGAATCTCTTTGCTGTACACCTGAAACTAATACAATACTGTAAATCAACTGTACTTCAATAGGAAAAAAAAAAAAAGTAAGTTGCTAACCATTTTCTAGCAAAGATCAAACTGCCAAAATATACTTGATTGGAATATGTGGCTGATATGGTTTCAATAACTTAAAAAATATAATGTGTCCTATTTGTTTTCTAGCATTGTCTTACAAAATGGTAGAGGACGAACTGGCACTATTCGATAAAAGCATAAATGAATTTTGGAATAAATTCAGAAGCACTGTCAGTGACACCTCCTGTCAGATGGTGGGCCTAAGAGATACCTACAAGGATTCCATTAAAGCATTTGCAGGTACCTAAGTTTAACTTGTAACATGCTGTTTTTGTTTGTTTTTTAGTGTAATTTCAGCTGAATTGAAACTTCACCTCCCAATTTCTCTTTCAGAAAAGCTGTCTGTGAAATTAAAGGAAGAAGAACGAATGGTTGAGATGTTTCTGGAATATCAAAATCGTATGTGACAATCTGTAGAAATGGATCACAGAGGGTTTTTTTCTAAATTAAACATCTTCATGAAATCCCTCATACAAGTAAAACAATGTATTTATAGATATACAGTGTATACACATATGAAAATAATGAACATATGTGTACCCATAATGCAGCTTAATAAATGGAACATCCCATGTTATACCTTCCTCTTCTCTCACCTTCTAGAACTAATCTGTCAATATTTTAATTTAGTATTGAGTTTTTGAATGTTATATAAATGGCATCATTTTGTATGTATTCTGTCCCTTTGTTCACTCAGCATTATGCTTGTGAGATTCTTTTATACTGATGTGTAAATGCCTGAAGTTTTTTAAAATGAGTTTCACAGACTAGGGTTTGAAAATCTGGAGTTCCCTCAGCTCTTTGGGTGTAGGGTTAATACTCTGACAGTTTTTCTTTCCATATTTTTACTGCTGTTCTTGCCTTCTCTTTACTACGCCTCTGCAGATTGTCCAGAGTGGATCGGCAGCTTTTACTGAGTTCTCACACACAGACCACAGACATGTAGCCACAGTCCAAAATCCACTGGAGATACTAAATTTAGCTGCACCATGTTTTGAACACTATTAAATCAGAGTGCCTTTATGTGGGACACATGTGGTTAATATGCCACAGTCCCTGATTGTTTCTTCTGCTTTGCTTTGAGCACTTAGTTTACTCATTATCTGGACCCTGAAGGCATTTGATCTTGGAAACCTGGTAGGCTGTTACGGTAGACTTCTACCCATGTTTATTTTCTAAGCTGCCCTGAAGCTTCCATGTCCTTTTACTGCTTCTCATTCCCTCTGTAACCAGTAGCAGGAAGGAAAACCGTGTGTGTGTGTGTTTGTAAGAGTGATATTGAGTTTAGGTCCTTTAAACACTCTTGGTTTGTAGAATCCCTAGGGATTAGAAAATTAAGTTTGAAACTATAAATTTTCAAAAACTACAATTCATCTCAAAGTGTGCTCTGAATGATTATCTGTAGTGTGAAGATGTGTTCTAAATAGTTTAAAATCTAAAAGAATTATCAATTATTTTTCTTTTAAAAAATCAGTTTATACTTGAACAGAAATATAATTTACATAAGTTTGATTAATTCGTTGAACATTTAACTGCTATTTGCCAAGCACCAAGGAGGCCACAATTCGTAAGATGTAATCTATACACTGCTCACAGTTTAGTGGAAGACATAGGTAGGAAAACTACAATTAAAATACATTGTAATAGTTGCTATAATGATGGGATGGGAATTTAGTGACATAGAATCTGGAGAGCTTGAATTTTCCAGTGAGGATTACAAAATACTTAACAGCTAACCCTTACGTTATACACCACATGCCAGGCCCTATACTGAGCTCTTTACATATAGTGATTCACTGAATCCTCACAACAACCCTCGGAGGTATATTTATTGTTTTTAATCCTACCTTATGGATGAGGAAATAGGCACAGAGAGGTTAAGTAAGTTGCTCAAGGTCAGACAGCTAGTAATCAACAGAAACATGATTTGAATGTGCACAGTCTGTCACACTGCCCTGGAGAAGGTCACATAGAAGAGGGATGGGGAAGTCCATCAGAGTCAGTGCCCGTATTCTAGAGGAGGGAAGAGCATATGGAATGTGGTGGAAACATGAGAGCTTGTTGAGTTGTGGGATGGCTAGAGTACAGTGTGAATGGGGAGTGGCAGAGAAGTGGCTGGTCAGATGATGAAGTACATTATGTGTTGGGCAGAGGAGATTTATTTTGCAGATGAAGAAATTAAAGGCTCACTGAGGTTAGGAAACTTGCCTAAGATCATATATTTTGTAGATAGAGGGTCTAGGATTGCAGCTGAAACGTCTGTGCTCTTTCCAGTGTACCATCTCACCTTTCCACATAGAAGGGAAGGTGTAAGGGCGGGTTCCCATGGTGAGTAGTGAAAGTTTGAAATATTGGCCCTGGCGAATAAAAGAGCTGACTATAAACATATAAAATAATAGTCATGCAATACTGAGGGCCCTTACATTTGTGTTGGCACAAATCCACACAATTGTTCAAATGTTAGAATGAAAACACTCACATATATGGTATTTATGTACCACTTAATAGTTTAAAACTTTTCAATTATCATTGGATACCCTAACCCTGTAGCGAAAGTAAATGGGCAGCCATTATTATTCTCGTTTTACAAATGAGGAAAAGAGGCCCCGAAGTTGTGATTTGATCAAGGTCCTTGGGTAACAACTGAGAAGCCAGATGGGAACTGAGAACTTTTGACTAAAACTGTATCTCTTTTGCAGTACCGTTCTACTTAATTATCCTTAAAAAGTAGCATTTTTCTTTCTGGTAATTCTGATAAGATGTTTATTTTTAAATTACACCTGATATAATGTGATCATGTCCAAATTCTTGGAAAATATAGAAAAATAAAAAAATATCTGTAATGTTGAGAACCACACTTAACAGAAGACTTTATAGTTTTTATTTTTCATATGCTATCTAGGTTTTTTTAAGATAATTGTGTTCATGGTATCTATATAACTTTGTATCATTTTTTTTTCTTTTATCTACTAGGGCAGGATTTTCCCACATTACTGAATTCTTTGAAAATATATTACACATTATTGATGTACTGTGTTTAATAATTTACTTATTAGTCATATACAATGTTTTCAGTTTTTCAACATTATAAATAACACTGAAAATAATTTTTTGTATATGAATACTTGCACACATCTTGTTTTCTTAGAGGAACTTTGTAAAAATGAAATTACTGGATCAAAGGACATGAATATCCTTAAGACTTTTATTTTGCAATGTCAAAAATATTATCCAAAAAAAAAAATTTTCCATATGGACTCTAGTATTTTTCATTCTCAACACTAGCTATTATTTTTGTAAACATTGTTATAATAAATGAAAATTAGTGTTATTGCTTTATTTGCATTTCTATGATTACTGAGGTTAAATCATCTTTTGTATTTGATAACCATCTGCATTCTGTGTTTCCTCTGTTCATTCCTTTGCTGGTCTTTTTCTTAGGAATTTATATTTGTGTCTTCTTTAGATTAAGAATAATTACCTTTGTTGGGAGAGGATAGTTTAGTGGTCAAAATCATGACCTTTGAAGTTAAGACCTGAGTTTGAATCCAGGTCTTACTGTTGATTGCATTCTAGCAAGTAAAGCTGTGAGCAAGTTATTGAACTACTGAGTCTTTTCCTTCTTCTTTTTTTTTTTAATCGAAGTTATAGTTGGTTTACAATGCATTAGTTTTGGGTGTACAGCAAAGCGATTCAGTTATGTATATGTATGTATCTATTCTTTTTCGGATTCTTTTCCCTCATAGGTTATTACAAAATATTGAGTAGAGTTCCCTGTGCTATACAGTAGGTCCTTGTTGGTTATCTATTTTATATATAGTATTTTCTTTTTCTTTTAAAAAAGAGTAAGATGTACATGGTAATTGTATTACTGTGAAAGTTAAGTAAATTTATATAAATATAAGAACACAGTATCTAGCATATAGTAGAGTTTTTATGCTTATTTGAATCAAATATGAGTTTGTCTGCTTGCCTGCCTTTCTCTTTGATTTCTTTTTGCCTTTGAGTAAAACAGTCTTTCCCCATATAGTTAATTTTATATTCACAGATACTGCCTTTTAGGTTTCATAAGATTTCTTTTTACATTTAAATATTTAATAAATTTGTTTGGGGAACAATCTACTTCTTGACTTACGATATTTATCATATTAATTTGCTAAGTGTACCAACATTTGTTTTCGAATTTTTTTTTTGCTTTAACTGAGCTGTAGGTCTGTTCTTCCTCCCTACCTCCCTCTCTTCCTCTCTCGTTTCTTCTTTTTGGTATATTCCAGAATTATTTATGTAACATTAAAGTTAGCTATTTCTTCAAAGCATCTACAAAGCCATCTTCTAGAGTTTGGTTGCCTTTGGTGGTAGGTTTTATTCATGTATTTATTTGGAGGGGAGAGCTGCAAAGGTCATGATCTTCTGATTTTGTATTTTGTGGTTTAATTTAGTATTCTCATTTTAATAAGCATTTTTGTCTCTTCATTTTTACTTTCAAAGACAAACAGGAAAGACTAGATATGGATTTTTGTTGTTCCTTTACAATCATCGGGAAATGCTTATCAATTAAAACATTCTTTATTTTATGAAAGTCAGTACTTTGCTCTTATCTTAGATACATGTTGACAGGCAAAGCATATAGATTCTAGCTAATACTTTATGCTTCTTACAGAGATCTGCAGGCAGAATAAGCTCATTCAAGAAAAGAAAGAGAATTTGTTGAAGTTGATTGCTGAAGTAAAAGACAAAAAGCAGGAATTGGACGCACTGACCGCAAATATCCAGGATCTTAAGGAAGAATATGCTAGGAAGAGGGAAAGTAAGTTTCCAGTTGTACATGTATTTAAAACAACCTAAATTTCAAAGTGGTGATGGTTCACAGTGTGGACATCTTGCCTTCTCCCCAGCTCACCGCCACAGGTGGCTAACATACGTCACGGTCACAGCCAGCCACTCACCTCTCTGCAAGGTGTCTGTGAAGTTTGCTAAGTGCGTTTCATTTTCCTTCTTTTGCTTAAACATCCTTTTGATTTCTGATAGAACCAGAGAATAATGAAATTGATATGGGAGTTTAATTAAGCAAAGTGGGAGACAGTTTCACTAAATAAGATTTGCCTGGGAGAAACCATAGTGTAATTTATGCAACAAATTTATTGATCATACATTCTCTGTCAGGAACTATTAAGCATGCTTTTCACACTGCAAAGCCTCTTTGTCTAAGACATTCACATTTTTTTTTTTTTGCGGTACGCGGGCCTCTCACTGTTGTGGCCTCTCCCGTTGTGGAGCACAGGCTCCGGACACGCAGGCTCAGCGGCCATGGCTCACGGGCCCAGCTGCTCCGCGGCATGTGGGATCTTCCCGGACTGGGGCATGAACCCACGTCCCCTGCATCGGCAGGCGGGCTCCCAACCACTGTGCCACCAGGGAAGCCCCGTTCACATTTTTTAAAAAGGGTGCTTCTTTTGGATAGGAGCTTATTTGCCCACAAATGAAATAATCAATTCTAAAATCTCTTGAAAATAGCAAAGTTTGTTTTGTGACTGCTTTTCCTTATAGAGTTTGTGTACCAGTCAACATTATTTTTCTCATCTGCTAAGCATTACTTAGGGAATACTGCACTAAATTAAAAAAAAAATTCTAAACTAGCGTGAAATAAGGCTGACTTCTTGTGAGTAGTAGTTATGTTTAAAGAATAGAATATTTTTCCAGTGAAGCAACTGATATATCTTTGGCTAACCAGGAAAAGCAAAATAGTGTACAAGAAGTCTTTCTATTTCTGTGCTAGTCATGCAAGCCCTTGGCCTATTTATTCATGCTACTTCATAATAAAATAGAACAAAACTTATTCCTCATACTACCTGTATGTATTTTCTCATGCATTTTTTCCTTCCAGCTTGAATGAACAGAAGCCCCTTTTTGCAAATTGGTAGAGATAGAAACTGTAACAAATGTAAATGTAAGCTGATTCATTTGCCTGGCATCATTTTTATAGTTGTTTTTAAGTTTGTTTTAACTAATTAACATTAATTGAATGTTATTTAAAATATTCGATACTCTGTGTCTGTGTTTTTAATCATAGCTATTTCCACTGCTAACAAAGCTAATGAAGAGAGGTTGAAAAGGCTACAGAAATCTGCAGACCTGTATACAGATCGACTTGGACTAGAAATTCGAAAAATTTATGGTAAGTATATTAAATGTAACTAAAACAGGATATTAGAAAAGTCTGTCTTAAGTAGAAAAGAATTTAAAAAATATTTTCAAGTAAAATAATGGCCACATTATTAACTTTTTAGATAGTAGGAAAAAATTACAAAATTTTTATCACCCTAATGTAATTACTGATCCTTGGTTGTTTATCATCCAGTATTTTAATAAATGTATTTTAGGCATGGTTGGCAACATGCAAATCAGTTTTGTTCCTTGTTCTTACTAGCATTGTATGATTAGTATCTCTCTAATTGCTATAGCCTTCATAATGGTCATTTTTAAATGGTGGTGTAATAATTTGTTCCGTAAGTGTAGCATAACTTACTCAATCATATCTATTGTTTAACCCATATTACTCTAAGTTAACATTTGGATTTTACATTTTCCAGTTTCAGAAGTACTATAGTGAACATAGGTAGACTTCTCCATTTTTTTGACACAATTTCCATGGAATTCCCAGAGATGAATTACTGAGTTAAAGCATATGAATATTTTTGTGGCCATTATGTAAATATGTGCCAATTTACAGAAATATTTATTGTGTTGGGAGTTCCCAAGATTACATTCAGTTTTGGCGATTCACTGGAAAGTTTACAGGACTCAGCAGGGCTCAGATTTCTTGTGGTGAAAGGATACAAAACAAAGTCAGCCCAAAATAAAAAGGCACATGGGGCAAAATCTAGAGAAAACGAGCTTTTCAGACAGAAGTTTTTAAGAGTCCTAACCCAGTGGAGTCACACAGGACGTACTTAATCCCTTCAGCATCAAATTGTGACAGTACATGTGAAGTGTTTTCTACTGGGGAAGCTCATTAGAGACTCTGGAAGCTTGTGCCTGGTTTTCCGTGGACTTCACCCCAGGTATCTTTTCCTGTTGCTGATTTTGCTGTATCGTTTCACTGTAATCATAGCACTGAGTATAACCATACGATGAGTCCTATGAGTCCTCCTAGTGAATTTTCAAACCTGTGGTGGTCTTTGGGATCTCTGACACATCAGGCAAGGACCAGCCTTGCAAGCAGGCCTTTTCTGGGGATATCAGTCTCAGGCCTGCTATGTTAACTCTTCTGTGCAATCTGTCTACAATGTAAAGAGTACCCATTGCATTGTATTTGTGCCAGAATTGTAGTTTTTTTAAAGTTTTTGGTTTTATTTTGGTTTTTAGCAGTTGACTAGATATAATAGAAACTATTTTTTTAAATGCATTTCTTTAATTATTAATGAAAATGTGACCATTTTTTCCCATTGTTTACTAATTACACTTCTTTCTGAGATTGATTGGGCCCTTTATTCATATATCTGTTTGCCTTGGTTTTTGTTTTTCTTCCTGTCAGAATGAGTTTTTAATACAAAATATTAACCTTTGCTTAGAGGAGAACATAAGGTCCAGCTCTGAACTTTTGATCCATTGGTCTCTAAGTTTATATTCACTGTTATCCTGAGGTGCTTTTTTGTGTTTTGTTTCAAAACCAGTTTTAAAGCTTTAAAATTATTTTTATATTTAAAGTAGAAGTTTCTCATAGTCCTCAAAATCAGGAAATAATGTTTTAAAGAAGAGACAACACAAATTAAACTCTTCATTTTGACTAACTGAATATCTTATGAAATCTTTTCTTTGGCATGCATACCTCCCATTACTGTTAACAGTTAAAAAAATCTGGTATACTGACATAGTTACTTCACTTTGAATTTAAATGCAAGACAAATTTTTTTCAGTGTTTCTGAAGATTTCTTTTTATAATTAAAAGCATTTTTTATGCTGTAGAGTAAAACTGAAATGCATGTGAATTTCTACTTTGTGGCTGCCATTTTGAAATTTACTGAGTATTTACTCCTTAGTAAGCATTTGGAGGTCTTTTGAAAAATAGGCTTTAAGTCCAGATAACTGTGTAGAAAAAGTCAAATTAAATTTGTCAAATTATTAAATGACAATAAAAACTTTTTATTGCGGTTAAATATATATAACAGAATTTGCCATTTTAACTCTATTTTATTGTAAAATTCAGTGGCATTAATTACATTCACAGTGTTATGCAATCATTACCACCATCTGTTTCCAGAATTTTTCATCATCACAAACAGAAACTCTGTACCCATTAAATAATTCCCATTCCTCTCTCCCCTCAGCCCCTAATAACGTCTAATTTACTTTCTGTCTACAAATTTGCCTATTCTCGGTATTTCATATAAGTGGAATCATATAATATTTGTCCTTCTGTGTCTGGCTTATTTCACTAAGCATAATGTTTTCAAGGTTCATCTATGTTGTAGCAAGTACCAAAACATCATTCCTTTTTATGGGTGAATGATATCATGTATATATACGCCATGTTTTGCTTATGTGTTCATCTGTTGGTGGATGCCAGATTACTCTCATCTTTTGGCTGCTGTGAGTAATGCTGCTGTGAACATTACATGCAGTTATCTGTTTGAGTCTCTATTCTCAGTTCTTTTGAGTATATACCGCAGAATGGAATTGCTGGGTCATGTAATTCTTTGTTTAAATTTTTTGAGGAACTGCCAAAGTCTTTTCTACAGCACCTGCACCTGCACCATTTTACACTCCCACCAGCAACGTACAAGGGCTCCAATTTCTCCACATCTTTGCCCACACTGTTATTTATTTATTTTATTATAGTCATCCTAGTAGATGTGAAATGGTATCTCATTGTAGTTTTGGTTTATGTTTTCTCAGTGATTAGTGGTAAGGAGTATCTTTTCATGTGCTTATTGGCCATTTGTATATATTCTATGGAGAAATACCTATTCAAGTCCCTTTGTCCATTTTTGAATTGGGTTTTTCTTTTTGTTGTTCAGTTGTAGGAGTTTTTTTCATATATCTTGTATATTAAACCCATATCAGATCTATGATTTGCAGATACTTTCTCCCATTCCGTGGGTTGTATTTTCACTCTCTTGATAGTGTCCTTTTAAGGGCAAAGTTTTAAATTTTTTAATTTTGATAAAGTCCAATTTATCTATTTTTGTTGTTGTTGCTTGTGCTTTTGGTCATATTTAAACTACAGTGCATTTCAAAGCTAATTTGTAACTTGTATGTTTGGAGACATTGGTTAAGTGAATATATGTACTTAGCTATGTAGATATCGATCAGAGATGGAGGTAAGGAAGCTCATCTCCATTGAGAGCTTTGGCACAATAAAATAATTCTCATACTAAATAATTTAATCCCTTTTTTCAGGTGATAAGTTGCAGTTTATATTCACTAATATTGACCCTAAGCATCCTGAGAGCCCATTTATGTTTTCCCTGAGCCTAAATGAAGCGAGGGACTATGAAGGTATGTACTCCTGTCTCTTAACTGGTACTTAAGATTGGCATCCCAGAATGTTATTTGACTTAGAATATAAAGTAATGTGAAGGCAAGTAATATTCCCACAAGCTGTTGCTTTTTTTCCAGTCTTGCTTCTTGGGATATTGCCTTCTAAAGGCAATGAGTATAGTTTTTTTATAGATATTATCCAGGAGCCTTAATAAGTAACTTTTCTTCAGGTTGACACAGTGCCACAGTGGCTAAAAGACTTAAAAGACCAAAGATCACTGCATTTCATATGCAAGTATGAATTGTCCTCTTAGAGAATTTAAAACAAAGCTAAAGCTATAAAGGTTATGACTGCCTAAATGTGGATATTGTAAGTTATCTAAGTAGGTGGTTTTAAAATTGAATGTAAAGTCAGAATGTGATCATTTAACACCCCTGCTCCCCCCAAGTTATCCTATCCTGAAAATCCCGAACGTTGATAATTTAGCTTAGTTACTGATTCTGCAGCAAGCCAGAAGGGCTTTGATGCATGGGAAATATATATGTTTGGCAGTAGTGTGAACAAGAAGAGAATGGAAATATATTTCTCTCTTTTTATTACTCTAAGGCCCCCTTTAAAGTAGTCCTTAACTTATTGGAATTCAGAAGAACGGTTCTCAGCTCTTTCTTTATACCTGTGTTCTCATCCTAAAGCGTTTATGGCAGACAGACGCTCAGGTAAACTGCTGAGTTGGCTCCCTGATGTGCTCTAGTGACTCAGTTCCTATTCTAATGAAATTTATATTTTAGGAATCTAGTTCAGGTACAAGTGTTTGATTTTTTTACTCTATAGGTAAATATCTTCTAATCTGATAATGGGTGCTAAATTTTAAAAAGCAAAACAAACCCCCGAACCTCCTACCTAGCTTCTCAGTTTTCACCAACTTGGATAGCCTCTATTGCTAGGTAGTGTCACAGTATTTGATAATGTATTAAAATAGAATCTACAGTATCAATTTTGAACCAAGCACTCTTTGCTATTCTTTCTCTGCTTTGGTCATGGGCATTGTTTCCTAAGCAGTCTCTACCAAAGAGCTGGAAATCTGATATGGTTGAATTTCTTCTCCTTGGACAAAGGTCAAGATTGACGGTAGAGAAAGTTGGATCATTCCTTTCCTTTGACCACTTTTACTGGAGACTTGCTCCCAGTGTGTACCAGCTGGTGCAACTGCATTCGAGGGTCATATTGTTCTTTGTCTTTTGAGTCTCATTTGATTACTAGGCCATGTAAATTACCACTTTGGGAATAGCAACCACATTTTCTAATGACCCCCATTTCACTTGTAAAACTTCAGGTATTTCTTTCCACAGCTGTAAGTTATTAAGGGTTGCCATTGAAAGTTGTTCTTTTTTTGATCCAGTGACCAGAAATTAGAATTGAGGCCAAATTTTGCAGAGAAAACTGACAACAGTTCAAAAAAAAATTGTTAAAATATTTTAAATAATTAAAACAAAATGTATGGGAAATGGCATGCTGTTCTGTATCTCTAAGCTCTTCAATCCCTTGATTACCTTCTGTTTAAATTTAAAGCAAGATTATAGTACTTAACATTTGAATATTTAGAGATTAAACAAAGGAAAGGTCTAAAAGACAGGATACGAAAATCAGGTAAGTGTATCTATCATTCTATGCTGAAAGCATTTCAATAAAATGGAATTGAAATGGCTTGAATCAGATGAGAGCATCTAAGTTAGAAATATTTCTCTTCCATTAAAAAAATCATTCAAATTTCCTTTTTTTTCCCCCCTTCTAGTGTCAGATAGTGCTCCTCATCTTGAGTGCCTAGCAGAATTTCAAGAAAATGTAAGGAAGTCCAACAATTTCTCGGCTTTTCTTGCCAATGTTCGGAAAGCTTTTACTGCTATTGTTTATAATTAATGTATAAATAGTATATAAAAACCGTTATCCTATTGTGTTTCTCTTTTTAAAAAAGGTCTCATTATTTGTTGTTTGTCTATAATCCGTTTGTATTTTTGTAACATTTCTGTGTGCTATTTCTGTAAATTATTTAAATTAAAATCTTAGGAAAGAAGATTTATAAAGTCAAGCTTTCGGAGGTCATGGACCAGTAATAATAAAAAATGAGGGGGTGTGGGCCCAACCTAAGGTTTGCAATTTTTAAAATGTACTTAACAAAATAAATATTATTATCCTAATATCATAAAGGAAACAATATTTTTATCTTAAACCAAGTGGGATCTACAGTTAAAATAAAGGACAAATCTTTACATCAGAAGAAGATTGGCAGTATTCTAAAATGTCTTTTAGAAAAGAATCTAATTTTGAAAATCCAAATATAGAAAATTTATAACCAATTTTCATCTTATAATATTTATACTGGTTAGTTGTGGTCTGGATACAAATTTGCCATCTTTGGAGTCTATTCAATATGAACTAGAACTCGATCAATTTCTAAGATTTCATTTTTGTCACCATTCTTTCTTTATAAATTTGGTTGTATTTAGGTCTGCTGGCTTTAGTGGAAGGCACGTACTACACCTCTCAGGATATCTTGGGCATACCTAAAAGCCATGGAGCAGTGGCCTTCGTGCTTCCAGCTACTGCTGTCTTCTTGCAGTCTGGGGAAAGTTTAGACCAGTTGTCTAGTTAGGGTTGGAGGGAGTTTCAGAGCACTCTCCCTCAGTGGCCTCTCATGCCTAGGAAACCCAGGTCTGGAGGTAGATTAACCTCGAAAACTGAGCTAAGAGTAGGGATGTTGTAGTTCTCTAAATGGAAATAGACACTACATGTTTAACAGAAAAAAATAGCAGATGACTACTATAGTGAGTACATATTTACTGCTTGAAATATATTCTCAAGGAACAAACAGAACTTAAGAAAAGGTTTTCATTCATTGAAACTAGAGGAAAGCCATGTCTCATACCAAAAATTCTTGATACAATGTTTTGAACCATACAGCGAGAAGGCACGAGGCATTGATTCTGAAAGATCCTCTTCACCTGCAAGTTAGAGAAATGAAGACGGGGGATGAGAGACTAAATGGGTAGCTCCGCACTTAGGTCCATTTCTCCTCAAGGACCACCATTCTTCACTTCTTCTAACTGGGGTGTGGAGGTAGGACAAGACCTCTGAATGAGGCCACGTAGCAGGAAAGTCACAAAAGGATAGCATAGGAACCAGCTTTGCAGCTGGGATCCAAGGTCAGACGTATGAATAAAGTTCACTCTCATACCAAACAAAGGGCCTTAAGCCATAGAAATTTATATCAATTTTTTTTCTCACCTGGAAAGTTGATTCATTCTAAAATTGGAATTGGGAATTGGTTAGGGCTGGCCACCTTAGAATAATAGTTAGTACTTTCTTAACTCTTCTTATGTGCCCAGCACTGTTCTAAGCCCTTTACAGATGTCACCTCATTTATATTCCCTCAACAACCTGTGAGGTAGGTACTATCCATAACCTAGTTCTACAGATAAGGAATCCAAAGCACAGAGAGTGTAAGTAACTTCAAGTCAGATAGCTGGGAAGTGAAGTGTTAGAGTTGGGATTCAAACCCAGGCAGCAGTCTGGCACCTAACCCATGAACTTCACCTAGACTCTACCTTATGCCTTTCTATGCTATATTGCAGAGGAAGTATGTGAAGACAGAGTTCTTAACAAAGATTCTATACAAATTTGAATTTTTTTTTGTTTTTTGTTCTTTTTACAAATTTGAATTTTTATAATATAATTTTGCTTTTTTGTTTCTATAGAAGTGTAATGATTAAGAAAAAAAAAAAGGGGGAATATGTTTTGTCTGGATCCTTAGTACCTGGCCTTCAGAACCCAAGTGATTCACTGAGAACCATCTCTAGGTATTCAGACTGCACTTACTAACCCAGGTCTTTATGGAAATGGTGGATGGAGGACTGTTGACTTATGCGTAAGTCTTTATCTGTTCAATCAAGTATAAATGCCCTAATTTTTGAGGTTTGCTCTGTGCCAACCTAGGAATATTCTGGAGTCAACATTATTAGTATATTAGCTTAAATTTTAAAGTTTGATACATTATGAAAATTGCGCTTTGAATACATGTGAAAGGTAACCAAGCTATTCCATTAAATTTGCTCTATCCATTTTATTTAGGGTGCTATGTTGTAAATAAGAAATAATACTTTTAAGCATTTACAGTCTTCCTGGTACGGAAATAAAGCACAAGATACATAGATAAGAGATTTTCTTAAATGGGAAACAAATGCACACAAGTAGTAAAACTGAACTGGAATCCAAATCGGGTGGACTAACGTATTCCACATTTTGTAATAAAATGGAACAACAAGCCCTCTAAAATTAAACTCAATCACTAATTAAGTTAAAAAAACAGAATCAGCACAAAATCTGCTAAAATGTACTGCTAGTGGATTTAAAGTTTTGATTTCCCAGCTAATGAGGATTAGAATGTGTTGCTTCTCTTCCACTTCAGAGGATTCTTGTACAGAGACAATTAGTTATATTTTAATTTGTGTACCATGACAGTGAAGTGCCTAGTATCACCCTAGCATAGTATCTAACACATAGTAGAAGCTTAGTAAGTATTTGTTAATGTCGAACACATTTCTAGACTCAATATAGGATTATTTAATGGGAAATTAAAATTACATCTTTGAAAAGGAGCTGACTTGTTCAGTAATACCTACAGGCATGTTGCTGAGATGTCCAGAAATTCTTAGAAGGTAAAGATATTTCTGCAGGCAATTCTTGACTAAATGACAAATCTAATTGAGAATAAGACTCTTTCTGAATAAAGACAAGGGTTTCATCTAAGTAGAAAGAGAGTCTGTCAGTTAAGTAAGTAAACTGGAGAGTATATGAGCTGTTTAAATCAGCTCCTTTCTTGGTATTGTTAAACATACTGTAGTGTGAAGTGTGAACAATGTATGGTGAAATATGTGAAGAATGTTTGGAGTTTAGACACATGTTATCATTTTCCCTTAGCAACCAAGCAAGCTGGAAGTAGCTCCTGAAGCTAAGGTCCAACAAAGGGAAAAACTTCAAGGATGAAGTTATTTTACTCAGTTGGATAGATTTTTACAAAAATTCAGAAAGTGGCAATATTTGAGATCAAATAAATGTGATCTGTATAATGGTAAATCTTGAATACTCTTTTTTTTTTGTGAAAAATTCTGCTTTCCGGCCCAACATTGGTAATGTAGAAAGATTTGAGGATTAAGATGTGGTCCAGTCTTTGCTCTACTATTAAAATTGATACATGATGTTAGGCAAGTCATTTAATCTTCTGAGCATCAATTTTCTATCAGGCCAGACTGCACTATGTGTAGTTTCCCAAACTTGCTGTTTTCTTTTTTGTTGACCAGGCCAAGAAAGTTTTCTTCTATTTTCAGTTAACTAAAAGTAATTATCATGAATGTTTGTTGGATTTTATCATGTTTTTCTGTATCTTTATAGATTTTCATCTTGTATCAGCTAATGAGATTTATATTAATAGGCTTAAAAAAGAAGTTGAATTAAACTTGCCTTCCTAGAATAAATCCAACTTAGTCATGGTGTGCAATCCTTTTTGTTTTGTTTTTAATAACGTTGGATTCAGTTTGTGAAACTTCTGTTTTAAATTTTTACATCTATAGCCATGAATTAGATTGGCTTTTAATTTTCCTTTGTATAAACTTCATGGGATGTTGGAGTCACAGTTATCCTAGGTCCTAGACCCTTGAAAATAGCTGAGATGTGTTCCTTTTTATCTGTTTCCTCAAAAAGTTTGAATAAGACTTCCTGTTTTTGAACTCACATATAAAACTATGTGGGCCTGTGTTTTCTTTGTAGGAAGATGTTTTTAGAATGCTCGTTAAATTTTTTTAATAGTTACTGAATTATTCAGTTATTCTATTTCTTCCTGAGTTTTGATAAGGCATACGTTTTTGAGAAGTTTATCTCTTTTGCTGACATTTTTTGCAAATTAATTGGTATAAAGTTGATAATATATAATTTTAGTTTTTGATATCTACTGCATCTGTAGTATGTCTACTTTTTTCTTAGAAGTAATGTTTATTTATTCTTAATTTTGCTAGGGGTTTGCTCAGTTGATTAATCCTTTCAAAGAACCAATGGATAGCTTTGTTCAACCCCTTATTTTGTTTTATATTTCATTAATTTCTGATCTTTTTCATTTCTTTTATTTGCTTTATGTTGTTTCTGATGTTTTCATAAATTCATAATTAGGATGCTTAATTCATTAATTTTAGCCTTTCTCCTTTTTCTTATAGTACTTTTTTTAAGCTGCTTTCCTGAAACTACAGGTTTTAATACGTAGTAACTTTCTTATTTTTTATTTCTAACATTTAAAATTTTCCATTAAGATTTATTCTTTGTCCATGTGTTATTTAGAAGTGTGTGTGTGTGCACATGTGCATTTGTATGTGTGCAGGGACACATATATATGTGTTCTCCAAACACACAGGGTTTTTTCACTTAACCTTTTCTTAATGATTTCTAACTTACCTTGTGGTCACACAGTTTCTAGAGTCTTACTTTGTGGCCTCGTATGTAATCAATTTTTTACGTGTGTATTTTCCAGGGGTTACATGCAGTACTTTCTTATCTGCCCACAGCATCCACCTCACCCTCCCCACTTGCCTGACTCCTGCTCAGTTTGGACTTTCCCTGACTTCCTTGATCCTAATTAATGCCCCTCCTAAATGTTCTCATGACCTTCTTGATATACTCCTATTATAGCATTTATCACAGTGTATTGTGTTTACTGGTCTGTTTCCCTTTCAGAAGAGAGACTAAGGGCTCTCTGAAGAAAAGGGCTCATTGTCTTTTTAGTATTGAAGTGACAGAGTGATAGTGCCCCAGCCACTCTGTATGGTAACTTCTGTTCGCCCTTCAAAATCCCACCTTCTCGTGATCCCCTGCCCCCAGGCCCATCTTCCCTGAGTTAGACATTTTTCCTACTAACAAACATTGC